GGAAACAGCGCCCCTTAGTGGGCCGAATGAAACAGGAAGTGATCGAAATCACGGTTTCTATACATCGAAAAACTCGAGCGAAAGACACTTTGTGTCACCGTGCAGTGTTTGGTTTGTTTGCCTGAGCTGCAGCCGATCCTGGGGTAGCGCGGCTGTTTCTGGCACGACTGGTTGCTCCGGTCTGTCTTCATTTTCTCGCAGGGCTGCAGCTGCACTTGGCTCACATTTACTGAACTTTAAGCCCAGTCCAAAAGTTTCCTCCACGCTGTCACTGAAGTTTACTGCGTCTGAGCATCAGCGGGCAAATTGCTGTCTTGAACTGCAGGACGTTTGAGGGGTTTTCTTCTTCTTCTTCTTTTGTTTAAAGTCCTTGAAAGCTCTCAGATGGATTCCGCACGGCAAACTGTCCTGTCTGTACACCAGAGGATAGTCGACAATGGAGGTATGATGTTGATTATTTTCCCACATGTGTTATGCTTTTATTGCTTTTTCTTTTTGCATCTCTGTGTCTCGTGTGGTTGTTGGGCAGATTTTCAGTGTAAAAGGAAACCTTGTCTTAGTCTATTGAATGAGTGGGAAGATGCAGATGTGCTCCAGAGCTCAGCTTCACAATGACTGCTCTGTGGTTTTTGCCACATGACTGTCTGAATGAGCGTGACATCTTGTTATTGTCTTGTTACAATTATCTTTGTAATAAGCATAGAGGAGCAGCAGGCATCCGAGCTCACTTACCAAGAATGTTTATGGAGAAAACTAGTTTCTTGATCTTAGCTGCTTGTTCATAAATGCTAACAGCACATGTACACTCACTGGCCAATTAGGTACTTCTGTTCAACCTTATTTGTTAGAGAAATATTTAATCAGCCAATCACATGGCACATGGCACAGTTATTTTTTGCCACACAGCTGTATTTACATTTTATAGAGAATGGACCAAAAAAAGAAGAAATCAGGTCTCTGGCTGAAAAATGCCTGGTTGGTGTCAAAGGTCAGAGGTTAGGAAGGCAACTGTAACTAACTGAAGTTACAGTTTGCACGCTGAACAACAGAAGACTGGAAAAATGCTGCCTGTACTGATGAATCTGAAACATGCATGGATACCATGGATCCATCCGTCCTTGTATCAACAGTTCATACTGTTGAAGGTGGTGTGATGGTGTGTGGGGGTATTTTCGTGGTCCCTTAGTACCAAGTGATCATTGTTTAAACAGGTCACTGTGCTCAAACGGCCTTCACAGTCACCAGATGTCATGAGAGCACCTTTGTGGTGGGAGAATGCATGCAGCTGTGTGATGCTCTCATGTCAACATGGACCAAAATCTCTGAAGAATATTTGCAGCACCTCGATGAAATCTGTGTTATGAAGAATTGAGGCAAAAGGTGGTCCAACACTGTACCTAATCAAGTGGCCGGAGAGTGCATATTAACTAAGTTACAGCAAGGTTCACTTTTTTGCATTTCCTGAGCAGCCTTGAGACAAAAACCACATCTCAGGAATCATTGGTGAGAATTTCGTGAAATCACAGCAGCTCCAATCATTATTTTACTTTGGATCTTTCCTTTAACTCATTTGTTCATTTTTAAATTCTACCTAACCTGCAATTCCTGCTATCCAGACAAGAGAACGGACCCTTGGCTGTTGGTCTACTCCCCAGTCCCGGTGACGCTCATCTTCCTGCTTTATCTGTTTGTAATCTGGGCCGGCCCTCGTCTGATGAAGCACAGAGAACCCTTTGAGCTCAAAGTGGTCCTCATTGTTTACAACTTCGCCATGGTTGGCCTGTCTGTGTATATGTGCCATGAGGTGTGTTTAAGCTGCTTCTTTGTTCTGTTATAGCAGGAAAACGAATTAACCAACCAGCTTATGAGCAAAGCAATGATGTGTTTGAACAGTGGCACAATGTCTCTGTACGTGCATCTGTGCACCAACCCAATGAATTCAAATAGAGTTCAGTTGTGATTGAAGAGAAGATTTATAGATAGGTACTGAGACCCGTGTCCAATCTGTGCTTTGCAGGTTGGGTTCAGGTCAGGGAGAGATTATAGCGCTATAGGCATCAGACTACTACATGCTCTTTTTATCAGCAGTAACATCATCAATAAACACCAGGGAACCAGTTTAACTCACGGTCGTCCGTGAAAGAGGAATGTTGTTAGTGTCCCTGAAAAGTTCCACATGCATGTACCTAAATATCGCCATCACTGCTGTTTCCACTTTAAGCTATTAACATAGCAATCAGTTTTTAATTAAAATTGTATTGTGTGATTTTTTTTTATTTTATGTTATTTTTTTTAACGACTGATTTCTGTCTCGTTGTAAACCAACTGCAGGATTTTAAGTAATTTCATGTGAGCCGACGACGTGTTTTACACTTAGTATGTTTCATAATTGTCATGTTTATTGCCACAATAAAGTTGTAACATGGGAAAGAAGTGTAAATAAAAGATAAGCTCTAGTCTTCACTTGAGCTGGTGACATGTGTGAGTTGAATCTGTAAGGCAAAATCAAGATAATGATTGAAGTATCTTTT